CCCCCAGTCTTCCTCTCGCTCACTCTACAAACCCCGTCTCAACTCGCCCTCCACCTTCATCCCCGTTTCCCTTGCAACGGCCGCACATTCACTCTGCGCCAAACACTTTCGCAAAGGCAGGCAAAGTACATCTACGTTCAGGGCAGGGCAAAGAAGAAAAGACGAATGCCCTTGAGAATCGGTCCAAAATAATAAAAGGAGACACGAAATTGGTTGCAGGGTCTGAAAGGATGGGCATGCCGCTGCAGTATAGTTGCGGTAGTGGTTCGGCCCCTTCAAGGGAATCATCCATTTGTGAAAAATCGTTATGAAAAGAGGCGGAAATTCTTTTCCGTCCATTCCTTCCCGCACTACTGCCCCCCTTCCCCCTTCCCCCTTTCTGTCCCACTCTCCCTGTCGGTCCAACTTGGCGGCGAGTCGCCTTTTCGGAGTTAATTTAGCAGAAGACGCCTTTCGGCCTCCCAGGGAACAGGAGAAGGTGGAGGGGGCGGCGGGAGGAGCGGACCCGACTGGACCATAGGTCACCCTATCCGGACCGGCAGCCTCCATGGGAATAGAATAGGAGTCGACCTCTTTCCGGTCGCCTTGGCAGCGCAACATGGACAGAGATGGAATTGGTATAAGGGGGGAAAGGATTGAAAAAACAATAAACATTTAACGTGCACGAATAACTTTTATTTTAAAATTCCTGATCTGCAGCGAGAAATTTCTGGTCCATTTCCTCAGTTTGCCTTGCCGCCAGCAAAAGCCCCGACGGCTCACTCCGCTCACTCTGCTCGTTACACTTTGCAGCAGGATTTATTAGCCCACCTCGTTCTGCTCGTCAAATTCACCCTTTAAACCCTCCCAGGCTGGTGATGACCCTCAGCAAGCCCAAAGGCCACCCGAGCCCCGGCACTATTCTTACATTATTTTGGCTGCAACATTGAAAAGGGGGGAAAAAATGTCAACGAAGCAGAAGCGCGCGATTATAAAGCTTTGGAATTAGCTTGCATGTGCGGTGGAGGGGAGCGGAGGGGGCGTCAGACCTCTCTCTCTTTGAAAGGGGAGGGAGTTGTTTGGAGGGTGCGTTGTGGCTTGTTTGGTCAGCAGGGTCTGCATGGGCTAGATGGCGGATCAGCGGCAGTAGGGGGCGGCACGGAATTCGACGAGATAGGAATGGGCGGGCGGTTGGAGCCGGGGGCGCATAACATTGAGAGCAGGGGTAACGGCTTTATAGGCAGGTGCATTCAAAACTTTCATACTTTGGTAAGGAATTCTCGGATCATGCTTTGCACGCGTTTGATATAGCCAAAATTTGCCAGATATAGAAATATTTTTTT